TTCTGTCTTTTCTCCTACATATATGTTCATGGAAGTATTTCCAAATGCCCGTTTTTAGGATCTGTCATTGTACAATGATTTTTTTTTTAAGAAGTAGGTTTTTTCTTACTATTAAAGTATCACATTTACTCCAAAGACATTGATTACGTGTTTATGTTTTTAAAAATGTCAGGCAGCAAATCATTGATATAACAACCATTTGCAATCAAAAAACAGGATAGCTAATTTGGAAATCATATCTCTCCCCTTTTTTTTGGTATTTTTTAGGGAAGGGTCTATAGGGTGTTCAGGATCTCACTACTAGATCAGACTTGTAGTGAGCTTCCTGTTTACAGCTTCCCAAGAGCTGGGATTACAAGCATGTGCCACCACACCCAGTGTCAATTGCTTTCTCAGCGTGCCATAGGGGTGGGGCTGGCACAGCAGGCCCAGGGATTGAACCCCCGGCCCTTGCTTATAGGTGCTTTAATCTGCTGAGCTATTTGGCCAGCCCTAAGATAGCTAATGTGGAATACTTTTTAAGAAAATTGGAGAGCTCATCTTTTTTTTTTTTTTTTTTAACTTAGGTGTTTAGTTCAGGGTCTACAGGGTCTCACTACACAGATCAGACTTGTAGTGGTCCTTCCTGTTTTTTGGCCTCCCAAACTGGGATTATAGGAGTGTACCACCATGCCCAGTGTCAATCAGTGTCTCAGCGTGCCCCGGGGCAGGACTTGCATGCTGGCTGAGATGAGCCCCCATCCCTCCACTGAGTTATCTGGCCAGCCCAGTAGAACTCATGTTTATGCTTATGCCTTAGTGACTTGACTTGTAAGAAAGTCCTGTGCTTCTGAGAGTTTCCCAAGGCCCAGTCCATTTCAGACACTCTTATTTTCAGCTCTTGAATTCAAATTCAGTTCTCTTTTACATCTTCCATTTCTCCTCTTATCATATTTATATTTTTCTTTTCCTTAATTACTGATATTGAGCTGAAGGCCTTCACATTGAATCACATCCGCACCCAACCTTTTTTTCATTTTTGTTTTTATCTTGAGACAAGGTCTCACCAAGTTACCCAGGCTGGCCTCAAACTTGGGTCCTTATGCCTCCGCCTTCCAGAGTGCTGGGATTATAGGCATGTACTGCTATGTATACTGATCTTTAAATCCTGGAGGTCAGTCCACCTCTGTAACTTTTTCTTTACCACTGTCCTCTCCCTTCACTGCAGCTACATGCCATGTTCACAACTCAGCATAGGCTCTTTGCACTGGCTGCTGCTGCTGCATAGAGCAAATGACTGTGCTTGCCACCCAGCCCCATGTCTTAGGCCCCTCCAGAACCATCCCTAGTAACCTGTCTCAAGGACACCCCCCTTCTTCCTGGGACTCTTTAGTCTGTGCACCTTGTTTTCTCTCTGCCCACTCAGCAGTACCCAAAGATAAATGTCTTGGTATCTGTTTCCTCTCTATTTCTCTCACTTCATTAGTGCTTTTATAGGGCTGTACAGCCCCATAACAAGCCTTTGCCAGCAGAAATTTTGTCCTGTTCACTCCCATGTTCCCTCAGTACCTGGAATGGCCCTGATGTCGTAGAATGTGCATACCAAGCCTCCAACTGAACTATTCTTTGGGCCATGTCTGCCACTGCTCCTTGCTCCCCACCTGTATGTCACCCACATAACTGACTCCCCACAGTTTCTATCAGTCAAAGTCTGCTTATCCACTAGCAAAACCACTATCAGCTCAGGGCGCTAATTTGTCTGGTTTATCTGTCTCACATACAGTTGGTCTTCTCTTGCTTTACTTTTAAAAAAAAAACAAACCTGGTTTACCTCTCATGTGAGGCTGTTTCCTGCTTACTTAACCAAGTGTTGTGTCCACACTAGCCTAAACCACATTTTTTCCAGAACACATAGTCATTTAGGCAATACTTGATAAGTTAGTACTTGAACAGATTGAATTAGCTGCTGGTTAGGGAAGCAAAATTCTTAAGAGTTTTTCATACCTGTTTGCCTGGCCATTGTCCTTTCTCTCTCTCTGTCCCTGGGTAAGATGCCAGTGCCTGACACATTACAGCACCCTCCCCCATCCTCTCTGTGATGGCTGGAATTAATGAGATAATGTTACACACACTTAGCAAAAGGTGCTGAATAAATACAGGTGACAGTATTGTTGTTTATTATAATTATGTTCTTTGAGTTCTGGGTTGTATAATGAGCTACAATAATACCTCAGAGAATGTTTTAGGAATTAACTGTTAGATGATTATAAAACACTGCAAGTTTGTCATGGAGCTAGTTGCCAAGCCTGTTGAATTAGAGTAGATTGGGAAGACAAGGGTTACAGGAATTTTGTGTGTTCTTTTACATATGGGTGTGTTCTTTTGCTTCCCCCAGAAACTCCCTAATTGAGCTGCTGAGATCTGAGCCTTGTGACATACAGCATAAGATCTAACAATGCTTGTTGGGGGCTTTAAATGGCATTGGAAATCATTAACAAGACAGAAAGCTGTGATTTCCCCAGATTAGCATGCAGGTCTGGGGTTGGCTTGCTGAAATTCATTGTTTTGGTCTCCAGCCCAAACATGCTAGAATCATTATATTGTCATGTAGTAATTAGCTGTTCTTTTAATACGAGTAATAAAAATTAAGCCTAAGAGCCACTTTAGCAATGCTTTTTACATATCCCAAAATAATATTCAAATGCTATAGGCATTTAAAGTCATTCAGCTGTATACAGTAAAGTTAGAAGCTTAATGTATAGAGATGTTTGAGTATGCAGTCCCTTTCTTGTCCTGTGGCCAGTTTTGTTACTTCAGCATTGACCATGTTCAGTTAAATATAGATATTGTAGTGAGTAATTAGGAGATTGTCAAGATTTTTGTTTACAGTCTGACACTCTAGAAATGTCTCCATAGGCCTAGTTACTATTCACTTAATAATATACATGTAATTTTTATGTCACTGGCTTCCTTACAGAATCAAATAAAAGAAGTTATTTTCTCATCCAAGTAGACATAGTGGGCCTTGGCCTTTGAAAAGAAATGGACCAGATACATTGACAGGAATTTTAGGGATGGAGTGTGGTATGCCAACTTAGTTCTTTAAAACTATAATTGGTACTAGCAGTTATTCAGGAAAACTGACATAAGTGAAAGTTAATGAAATTCTCTACAAGTGCAGTGGTACATTTGACCTCTCTTCCCTGACCTTTGAATCAAATTATAGCTAAATAGGGAGGCAGCTGTGGGCATACAGCTACTTTCCTTCAGTCCATTTGCCCAGTACAAGACCATGGAGGTAGGGGAGGAGGCACAGGAAGGTTTCTTAGATACTGAAATTCAAATCCAAAACCAACAACACCAAGGGGGGAAAAAAAACAGCCTGCACCTCAAATGTCAGTTCCATTTTTCCCATTGTTACTGCTCCTTAGAATCATCTCCCAAAATTGCTTTTGAAATCTAATTTAACATAAATATTTTAATACCGATTTAAATAATGAAAAAACATAAATGAGAAGGTGGTACAGTCAGAGACAATGTACAAATAAATGGTCCAGAAGAAATGGCTGGTGGGCAGGGCTTTTGAATGATGGATCATGTTGGCATCAAACCTGTCACTTGGCTCTGCTGACTTGAACCAACATAGCCTAGCGCTACTTTATGTAAACTCTGCAGAGACGTTGGCATCACGGAGAGCTCCTGGCTGCTACTTGGGCCCAGATCTCAATTCCACAAAGCAAGGGTGGTCTGAAAAATTAATGGCTCTGGCATCAGAAAATTAAGTGAGCTCTTAAATATATATCCTTGTTGATCTGCCGTGCATGGTGTTTAGCATTCCACAATGGGAGACTAAATCTCCACAGCCATCTCACAGTGAGGTTGGTGCCCATGCCAGAAGTATGTTCAATAATCTTTCTAAGCCCAGCAGATTTGAGTATTCTGCTCTGACAGAACCTGAGAATTCCTAGGACGTGCTCCACTGGTCCCAGCAGGTAGATTATTATTGCTTCCTAGGCAGCAGAAGGAAAAATAAAGATTGAACTGACACAAAAGAACATTTAATGTCTGTTGTCTGATGAATGAATGGTAAAACTGGGGCCAAGAGTCAGCCCCATAAATTGCATGTCTCTGGTCTCCAACTTGTGATTAAAATCTACTATTAAAAAACTTTGATGGCAGATACAACATTTATTTGGTCACAAGACCTCACAGAACTGGCCTGGATACTGTCCTGCCCTTTGTATTATAATCAGACACTTGGTAATCTAGCTGGCTAGGCCAGGCAGCTGCCCACCTGACTGTCCTCAGCATTTGTCATCAGTGAAGGATAGCAATGAAAAGTGATCATGCCCTGAAATAGGTGGCCTCTTCTAAAGCTTGAGGATCCCTTTTATTATGAGTTGGCCTTCTGTGTCATGAAGAGTAGTCATTTGGAGCTAACTGATTTGGGTCATATTTTCTGTGCCCACAAACTAGCCAGGCAGCCTTGGACCAGTTCTACTTGCCAGAGCTTTCTTTTCTGTCCCATTCTCCCCCTTCCCAATGCTGTGAGACACAAATGAGAAACTGCCCACCACCCATGTGTTCTATCAATATGTAGGCTTCCAGAGTGTCAGGGGTTACCACCAGCTTTACAAAGTAACTAGGGACTTTAACCTTACAGGCACCTGTCTAAGCAGAGCTCTAGGCAATCAGGGATTTTTCCCAGGGCACTTTTCCCCTTGCTGTCCACGAAAATCATTAAATCATTACGCCATACCAAGAGACTTGGAAGATACCAGTGACTCCCAAGGCTACTTCCACCCAGTTTTCACACATTGAGGATCCTGGCGTAAGTCTCCGTTGTCAAACAGCAGAGAAGCCCCCACCTGACCCGTGGTCCCAGGACTGTATGTGAGAAGGTGAAGCTCCAGGAGAGCCTGTAGGAGGTGGCTTCACAAGCACCCAGAAGGCCACTTCCAGCCTGTCCTCCCTGAGGGTGGGGTTCAGGGTGAGCTGACGTGTACTCTCCTGTTGTGCAGATCCAGTGCCAGCCCTGGATCTGGGACAGCAACTGCAGCTCAAAGTGCAGCGCCTGCATGACATTGAGACGGAAAACCAGAAACTTAGGGAAACTCTTGAAGAATACAACAAGGAATTTGCTGAAGTGAAAAATCAAGGTTGGTGGAATGTCCTTTGCTTTCCTTTCCCCCTATTTTTTTTTTTTCCTTAATTGCTTTCACCTACTGTTGGGACTAGTTCTACTTGTTACCCACGTCATGAAGCCAGGGTGGGGCAAGAGAAAGAATCATTAAAGAGAGCTAATGATAATACTTAGCTGTTTCGAAGTCAAACTTTTCCTCTGCACAATGACTATGTGTGATTTTATTGCCCTCAGACAGGGCTGATCAGGATTCTTTGAAAATTCCTGCTGTATCATCATGTGATAGGGTCTGCCTTTTAAAAGACTGATGTATTGCCTCCAGGCGACACCTGTCAGAGAGCCAACTCATGATCAAAGGGTCACACACAGTAAGTCATTTAGTAATCGCTGCTGATCCATTAAGGCTCCAGACTAGACGCATCTTCACAGGCTGTGTGCTTACTGCTCTTTCCTGTTGGCTTTACCTATTCATTATGCCTCTCATGAAAGAAAACAGCCTCTTGGTGTGGTTGCCCGCATCAACAAGGTAGAGGGCAAAGGTGTTCTGGCTTCTCCTGTCAGGGAAGAACAAGGAAGTCCCTCCTTCACCTAAAATCCAGGTGCATTCCAAATGCAGAACCTCCACGCTTCCTGTGTCAAAGAAAACTCACAGCCTCTCTGACCACACCAGCATGCTCTTCAACTAACTCCCCTTCACAGTCTAGCCTGTGTGGGGTGAGGATAAGGAATTGAGTAGAAAGGGGAGGCAGCCACTTGGTTGGTCCTCTGTGTGGCTTTCTATTCAATAGGCTTAGAGAGCTACAAGACGCAGAGTGTAGACTGCAAAGTCCTTTGGCTTTGAGAATGTCAAAAGTAGAGTCAGGAGGAAGGAATGGTTGTGGAAGATCCATAAAAAAACAGGGGTGATGTGGAAAGAACTAGGAGGGTATAAGGCTATAAATGGAGCAAGCCCCAGGACCCTTTTTTTGTATATGTATTTGGTACAGGGTCTCACTGTATAGCTCAGACTTGTAGTGATCCTCCAGTTTTCAGCCTCCCCAGCTCTGGGATTACAAGCATGCACCACCATGCCCAGTCTTGGTGTCTGGCTTAGCATGCCTGGGGGCAGGGCTGGTGTGGCAGTGGTGCCTGGATCGAAACCTGGTCCTTGTGCTTGCCTAAGCAGGCATTTAGTCCACTGAGTTACCTTGCTGGCCCTCCCAGGGCCTTTTTCTCAGGGGTCTCTGAGCAAAGCCCTCAAGTGGGGGACGGGCAACCTTGCTGAAGCTGGGAAACATAAGGGACAAGACATTGGGGGAGCCAAAGTCATTCCAGACCCCACTAGCTCCATAGACAATATGGTGAGGTTTTGGAACTTAAAGGCATAGCATTGCCTTGCTTGAAAATGAAGCATTGGGCTTATTAAGCTATGATCCTTCTAAAAGAAAGCATTGCCATTCCCAATAGGAATTCTTTCTTGTCAGCTTTGTCTCCGTACCCACGTGACAGATAACCTGTAAATGTGCACATGTGGTTTACACAGAGACATTATGTAAAGGGAGTGTCCTTTGTATTTGTTCTCTCAGATGTCTAATTTTGACAGCCCCACCCTTGATATTTATTGAGCTTCCTATTGTGTATTGAAGTTTATAGTAGGACCCACAGGGCTGTGTGAGATTTTGCTTCCCCCGTCCTGCCTAACCAGTGCCTCCATCACCAGTTCTGACCAGGAACCCATCAAAGTAGTGAGAGTTGTTTCTGCCCCAGAGGTCTCTCACATGTGCTTTATAAATGAACACTTAGTCCAGACTCAGGAATAAGCCTCTGGAGGCAAGAAGACTTGGTTTGAATCCCTTGGTGGCCAGGATCTTGCCATGTGGCCTTGAGCCATCTTCTTGTTAGATGCCCTTTGTCTTAGGAGTAGTTCTCTACTTCCCACTGGGGTTGTAGAATGAAATGAGAGTAATATATGTGGCACTCAATACTTAAGATTTTGGCTGCTTTTTTTTAAGAACCAGTATTTTGAGTGAGAGTTCAGTCTGGCCTCAAACTGGCAGCAGTCCTCCTGCCTCAGCCTCCCAAATGCTGGGATTAAGGCATGCACCACTGTATCCAGGTCAGCTGAGCACTGTTGTTTTGTCAGAACTTACCCTTCTTTATCTGTTGATTACCAGTTTTCCCAATCTCCAGAAAATTACCATTTTTTCTCTCCTCAGCTTAACACAATCACAATTTGGAGGGGCAGGGGTATGCATCGCTTGTTTCTATAGTCAACAACCACAGTGAAGATGGTCCAGAAGTAAGAGCAGGAAAAGAAAAAGTCTTGTACACAGATCCCCACTAGAGATGAGTAAATTGGGCCTCTGGGTACAGCGAGCACATGCCAGCATGTCAGTGTCTTCTGCCACACCACCATCTGCCACGTATGGCTAAGAACCTATGTAGGGACACAGGAAGTATCCTTGATGTAGATCTAGGCAGCAGAGGAGGACTGCAAGCTCTAAGACAGTCAGCCTAGCAGCCACCAGCAACAAAGAGACCCCATCAGGCACAGACCCCATGCTTCTTGGAAGGATCCCAAGTGTATCATACATCCAGGCCTCACTGAAAAGCCCTGCTCAGCCTGTGGTATTGGAGTTTCAGCTCTTGCAACACCATTGGTATGTGTGTGTCACGTGCATTCCAATAGACAAACACTTGGGGTCTAGGCAGGACCCTATCCTCTAGGCCTGGGACATCATATAGCCTGGTGAATAAAAGGGGAAGGCTCCTTTAAGAAAAGAGATTGACCTTCCTCATTAGGTGGAGCCCAGAAAAAGAAGAAAAAATTAAAATCCCCAACTGCCTCAGGCCTGTAGGGAAGAAACTTTCCAGCCTCTTTAGAGATGGTTCCATAAGCAGCAGGGAATGGTCCTCAGAAGCACCACTTTCAAGGTTGGGGCCACAGTGATCGAAGGGCAAGGAGAGAAGTCCGTGGGAAAATACATAGTGGATGTCCTTCCCCAAGGCACCTGGATCAGAGACTACACCTACTCCTTGCATTGCTTTCACTTAGACAGTCCTGCTTTGGGTAGCTGAAGCACCTGCTGTCACTGTGCAGAGCAGGAGAAAGACTGAGGAGCCCAGGCTGGACTGCCTGCTAACAGACTTCGTCTGTGGAGTGCTACAGGGCTCATTGGAGTCTCAGTGCAGCTATTGAGTACCAAGTTCTCATACTTGGCTCTGGGACACTTCCTGGCCTCCTGCCAGTTACTTGAGTGTCTCTGCCCAGATCCTTATCATCTGTGTGTCCACACAGCCCATATCTGCCAGGTTCTCTGGCAGAGGACATCCCCAGCACCCAAGTTCAAGGGTGAAACCCCCAACTGATAAGATAGCACTCTTAACCATGTAGTCCTTACTTCTTTGTCCTTTGTGAAACTGCAAAGGTGTGCCTGGACCAGAGGAATCTGTAGATTCACCTGCTTCTGCTTCTATAAAGTCCCATGATGATGAACTGTTTTCTGAGAAAATAATTAAACCCACACTAAAACTTTATTAATATTCCCTCAGTAGAAAATCAAGGGGCCCAGGAGGTGGCTCAGTGAAATAAGCACTTCCCTGGCAAGTGCAATAGCCTGAGTTCAAGCCCCGGTTCCGCAAAAAAAAAAAAAAAAATTTAAGACTCACCAGTAAGATGATATTTTATCATTGTATACCCCCCCCAACACTCACTGAAGTTTTAAAGTGTTCTAGAGAAGCCCACACCCTCCTTTCCAGAAAAATCTGTTGTCCCTTCTCATCATAAGCATTGCGAGATCAATTTAACATTTGGGAGTAAAAGGTCTCTGAAGGGACACATAATCATTGATTTTATGTCAGCATGGAGAAACTCAAGTTTAAACCATGCAGCTCCGTCCAGGTTCCAAGAGACTGATACAGACAGCCACACTAAACTGTGCTTCTTACTGTCAGGTTTTCTCTCTTTTTTCTGCAGAAGTTACGATAAAAGCACTTAAAGAGAAAATCCGAGAATATGAACAGACTCTGAAGAGCCAAGCAGAGACAATTGCTCTCGAGAAGGAACAAAAGTTGCAAAATGATTTTGCTGAGAAGGAGAGGTAAGCGTGGGTTCTGGTGCTCCCAGAGTAATGACATTTTACCTCTGAACTTGACAAGATAGTTACAAGACAGTTGGAAAATGTTCCTGAGAATCAGCGAGAGTATACACAAAAATCCCCAAAGCTCTAGGCAAAATTTTGGTTGAAATATGAAAGTGTCCCATGATCTTTTAATTCATCAGTGAGGTCATCTTGAGTTCAGTGGACTGGTCTTTTCTAGTGGCTGATAGTGTCTGCCAGTCAGGGAGCAGAGGGTGTCTTTCAAAGCCCAATAGGTCCAGAGGTTAGCACAGGGCTGTTGAGTTAACAGGTTGGCATCTGGTGGTTATCCATCTGAGACAAGAGCAGGCAGGTCCTCTGGGCACATTTGTGTTATAGGGAAGCTCTGGGCACGCAGTGAACTTTGCCTTCTTCAATGAATTCTGATATTTTTATCACACATACGTGGAATCTTAGTTTTCTGTTTTGTCTTTTTTCATTACTTCACAGCACTTCATATATCAAGAAATCCATAAAAACTAGGCATCCCTGACCCAAAAATCTAAAATGTTCCAAAAGTACTTGGGATCTAGAGGATTGGCTCAGTGGTATAGCATGTACTTAGCATGTATAAGGCCAAGAATTTAGCATGTCCTACGCCCAGCACATACACACATAAAGGATAAGGATATTTGGGACATTTTAGGGTTTGACTTTTGGATTAGGAATGCTCATATAGTAAACCCTATGTAACTAGCCCCAAATCCAATGAATTCCAAAGTTCAGAACATTTGGGGTCCCTCCAGCATTTCATATGAGGGTACTCAGCCCATGTTAGCAAAATAAGCAAACTGATGCAATTTATTTCTAATACCTTACTTTACCCAAAACTTCTCCCACAAATGAATTGATTTTTCACTGGTGTGGTGATTTTATGAAAGATTTCTTATAAAAACTGTAAAGACCCTTGAGCTTGGCCAATTCCAACTCAGTTTGGATTTTAAAAACTATTGGGTTAATTTAAGATCCTCAGTTTTAGCCGTAGCATAAAGATATTCATATTAACATTAACAGGAGACAGGCTGGGGGGATAGTTCAGCAGTCTAAGCACCTGCCTGGCAAGTGCAAGTATCCAGGTTCTATCCCCTATACCACATGCCCTGCTGCCCTGGAACCCCAGGCACACTGTTCTAGCTACCAAAACCAGGTGTGGTGGTGCATGCTTATAATCCCAGCATTGGGGAGGCTGAGACAGGAGGATCACTATGAGTCCGAGCTGTGTAGGGAGACTGTGTAGCAAATAAAAAGGTTTTTAAAAAAATTAACAAGAGGTACTAAAATTATAGTTAGGAGTAAAAAGCTTTGATAAGCTTTTGGAGCCAATAATTGGGGATATGTGGCAGGACTGTGTAACTACAGATCAGGCTACCCAGTCACTATAGTTGCTGCCTAGGTCATTGTGGCCTCACTGTGAGACTAAGGCCAATCCTTTTGAGACTGCCCGAACTTGCAGATATAGGTTGACCCCACCCTGCCAGGAGAGTGTGGCAAGGCACACCCCCAACAAAACAGCATCACAGATGGGGACCTAAAGATGGCAGCCTCCTTGATTCAGCTAATGGGGAGGCAGTCCTAAATAAATCCCTCTTAAGAAAGTACTTCTTGTCTAGAGATCTTTTACCATGTTACTGATAGCTAGAGGAAAATACAGGCAATCTAAATGTTCTACCAACAATAAATGAATAAAAGGCAGTCCCTAACTAAAATGTTACACAGCCATGAAAATCATAGTTTGTGTGGAATTCACAATAACTGGAGGAAAGTATCCAAAATAATATGAAGTGAAAAATGTAGAAGACAATGCAGTCATCTGCTCACAACAAACTTATGTATCACAAAAGGGTAGAAATAAACTTACCTGGGATCTCAGTATTATTCAGTTGAGTTTCCCAATTAGATAAAAGGAGTGATTATATAAGAAGATGTTGGGGGCTGGGGAGATGGCTCAGTAGAATAAGTGCTTGTCTGGCAAGCTCAAGGACTTGAGTTCAATCCCAGGTTCTGCCAAAATGAGACCTAGTCTCAAAAAAAAAGTAATAAAAAGATGTTAAAGCCAGGCAAAGATGCACACACTTGCAATCTCAGCTACTGAGAAGGCCAAGGCAAAAGAATTTCAAGATCAGCCTAGGCATTAAGGAAACATCTAAAAATAAGACTTCTGACTATAGCTCAGTGCAAGGTTTGAGTAACCCCAGGTGTCACAAAAACTAAAAGATAGAATGACTGTTAGAGAAAAAAAGATAGGGGCCAGGGAGGTAGCTCAGTAGAATAAGCGCTTCCCTGGCAATCGCAAGGGCCTGAGTTCAATCCCCAGTTCCACAAAAAAATGAAAAGAAAAAAGAAAAAATATTAATAAAGGTGAGGATGTAGTCCAGTGGTAGTGTCTGCCAAGCCTATGCAAGGTCCTGGGTTCAATCTCCATTAACACAAAAACAGTTGTGGTTGTCAACATCATCATCATCATCATCATCATTACATTAAGTCATATATGTACTGGAAAAACAGGTTCATATTCTATTTTTAATTTTGGAGTAGAGAAGTCTAAGCACACAAGACAAGTGATATAAATAAGACTAAAAATTTTTAAAAACAAAAATAAAATTTTAAAATACCAATAAATTAGGAATATTTGCACTCTATAAAGACAACTAATTTTCTGTACAATGCCAAGAGCTTTTGAAAATTGATAAAAACTGACTCTGCCTAAGCAAGCATTTCCTACAAAGAGAAAAAGCTCAACTTTACAGCAAAATACTAAGTTTGATTTTATCACTGTTGGCAGGGTGTAAAAAAACACTCTTAATGTATTGTTGGTAGAATTTGAATTGGTGAGGCTTTTTTGTTGGAAAGTAATTCACTGTCTATTAAAGCAAAAGCAAATTGTACAGAGCCTTTGACCATTAATTCCTCTTTTAGGATTTCATCCAAAAGATTTACTTTCAAAATTATGCAAGTGTATCTCCATAATGATCATTGAGGAAATGTTTAGCAGATGTAAATATAAATAATTTAGATATCCACAGAGGTTTCATTAAGTTAGTTCTATAGTAAGAGTCAAGGATAGCTATATGTGCTAGAAGAGAACAGTTCCAAATACAGAAACAAGTGAAAAACTCTAGAATGACATATGTTATGATCCCCTTTGAGCAAAAGACTGTAGGTAAGAGCTTGTATCACTCCATGGGTAATATAATGCATATTAGGGTATACTATACTGTAGTAAGTTACATATTAGTTTATATTTCACTCTGATATATTACACGTTTATATATATTACTGCTATAGTATGTTACATGTTTATATTTCCTGATATGTTACATATTACTTTACATTGGACTATAGTATGTTACACATTGTATATTATACTGTATTACTTGTTACATTGTGTTTCTATACATACAGAAACATTTTAGGAAGATACAAAAGAACTGGAGTTTTCTAAGTGCTTATGAATTTTTACTTATACAATTTTAGGGTCCATTAGGTTTTTTCTCTTTTGTATTTTAGGGAAGGGTCTACAAGGGTGTTCAGGGTCTCACTACTAGATCAGACTCATAGTGATCCACCTGTTTACAGCCTTCCCAGAGCTGGGATTACAGGTGCACACCACCACACCCAGTTTCAATTGCCATCTCAGCACACCCCAGGGGTGGGGCCAGCACAGCAGGCCCAGGGATCGATTCCCCAATCCGCTGAGCTATTTGGCCAGCCCTAGGATCTATTAGTTTTATATTTGAAATGCACGAAGATATTAGCATTACTTTTTCTGTGGGTGACAGAAATTAGAATGACCTTTTATTTAAATCATTTCTTCTTTTCTGTATTCCCAAGTTTATTATGTTGAGATCATGTGTTATATTCCTGTGATGTAAAAGCAATAAACATATTTTTAGAGATTTTTGTGCAGATTAGGAGAAAGTGATGCTATTTATTGACCCAGGAATTTACTTGGAGATTATGGGATATATAAATGTGTAGAATGCAGTTGGAGACACCCAGAATCTCCCCCTTCAGTTCTGCACTTGCATTTGCATTCCATTATAACAGAGCTGGGACAGCTGTCACATCTCTTTAGTACATCCTTTATTCCAACAAATTTCTTTTTTGTGTCAGCAGAATGTAAATGTATCATTCTTCTCAGGCTAACTTCAGAAAATAATGAGTATGTGATGATGGTATTTTTTTATTTTTAATATCTGGCATCTTAAGAACAAGTGACATATAAGATAACCTTCCATCCCAATCGCTGTATGTCAAGACCTACAGGATGTACACTTCAGGTTACATAATATAAGGCTACATACAGTGTTGGAGTGCAGATTATGAGCAGGCCCCAGGGAATTGGGAGGCACACCCCATTGTGTGCCTGCCACCATCTGCACTTCCCAAAAAAGAGAGAGGATGAGCAGAGTCCTGAGGTGCTCAGTGCAGCTCCATTGGTAAACATAGTAACCAATCTGACTTTCTGCTCTTTTTAGAAAACTACAAGAGACACAGATGTCAACCACCTCAAAGCTCGAAGAGGCAGAGCATAAACTTCAGACTCTGCAAACAGGTTTGGTGCTCTTCATCCTAGTTGAGTTGATGCGGGATAGGCTTAATTGGTTACTCGTGGTCAGTTTTCAGGACTGTCAAGGTCCCCTTTGTTACCTGTTGCAGAGCCAAGGAAACCCATGCTGCAGAATTATTCTCTAGCCCTCCCAGTTGCTGCACCTGATTCTATTAGTCATGGCATTGAGTTGTTAATGTGGAGGTGGGAGGATCTGCGTGCCTTTTCTATCCCTTCCACCACCATCCTCTTTCTGCTCTTTTCCAACAAACATGTCTAAATCACCAAACTGTCAAGGACTGACATTTCATTTAGAACAATAATAGGAGATGGGGGGGGCGTGTTTCTACCCAGAGTGAAGTTAAGGAGAACAATAATAGCAGAACCTTTAAAATTTAAAAATTACCTAAAAAAGGTTATGCTAAAGTTTCTTTAAACTTTTTTCTTTTCCTTCCCTTTTTCTTCCCTGAAAGGGAAGCAGCACTGTATCTTTAATTTAAATGAGAAAAAAAGGAAAATGTCATAATCCAAGTTAAAATACAAATGACAGAGGAAGAGACAATCACAACCAGTGTAGCAGATGAGTTATATCCATAATTTAAAGGCCAGGCCAGGAGTATAGCTCTGTGGTAGGGCAATTGCCTAGCATGTATAGAGCCTTGGGTTCCATCCTCAGCATTGAGGAAAACTGAAAATAAAGAGCACTTTAGAGTTCTAGGGACAAAGGAAGAAAGATAAATAGCTAGTAGTCACAAAAAAATTAAATGAAAGAAAGTTTGTTTTACCTACCGGACAGTCAGATTTTATGTATGCATGAATGGAGTGCTGGAGGTTGAACCCAGGGCTTTTACAGAGTGCATCCCCACCCTACCCCACCTCCTTTTGACACAGGATCTCACTAAGTCACATAGGCTAGACTTGAACTTAGGATCCTCCTTCCTCACCCTCGCAGAGTGCTAGGATTACAGATGTACACCACTACACCAAGTGCTGGATTTTTTTTAATTGATAATACCCAATGTTGGTGAGAGCAAAGAAAAATGGTCCCCACTTCTGATACACATGGCAGTACAGATTGCCTTCTGGAAACCCAAGTGGGTAGTATTCATGGAAAGTTTGAATGCACAGTGCTTTAGCAGGAAGCTGCACTTTTAGTTGTCCTAAAAGAAGAGCTCATTTAGGGGCCGGGCAGATGGCTCAGTGGAATAAGCACTTCCCTGGCAAGGGCCTGAGTTCAATCACTGGTTCTGCAAAAAAACAAACGAACAGAAAAAATTGAAAAAAGAGGAGCTTGTTTATATTGACATTGCCTATGTCCTCACATGGAGAGATTTCTGTGCCCAACACCAAAGGAGAAGGGCAAGTCTCTGAAAATATTCCTAACATCCTATTTATTGGTGGCAGGGTATGCACAGTTGTGCAGAGGAGATGTGTTCTGAAATAAGTGCCATAAACAGATTTTGTAATACTCCAGACATCAGATACACTCACATACCTTGGTGACAGGGCAGGCCAATCACTTGTCATGGGCTCAAGACACCACAAACGCAAGCTAAACAAGCCTGGAGCTTATGTGACCTGGCACACTCTTTCCTATTAAATTTCTTTTTCTTGGCATAAGTAGAGGTATATTTGCTGGGCATCAATTCTGCACCTGAAATCCCAGTACTCTGGGAAACTGAGGCAGGAGAATTGAAAGTTCAAGCCCAGCCTAGAAAACTTAGCAACTTAACAAGACCCTGTCAAAGAATAAAACAAGGCAAGGGATGTGACTTAGTGCAAAAGCTGTGTGTTCAATCCCAGTATCACCACCACTCCAAGAAAACAGTACATTATAAAATAATGTTTGCCTTGCATAAAGGTGCACACCTATAATCGCAACACACAGGAAGCTAAGGCAGGAGGATCAATGAGTTTGAGGCCAACCCGGACTACAAGGTAATTCAAGGCCAGTGTAGTAGTGAAACCCTATCTCAAAAAGGCAAAAAAAAGATAAAATATACAGTATAGTAGAGATACAAGCCAGTGACATAGTCATGTATTACCATGATCAAGTGTCATGCATAATTGTACATGCTGTATGTTTGCACAGCTAGCAGTGCAGGGGTTTGTTACACCAACAGCCCCCCAAACATGAGAGTAGTCCATGGTGCTGTGATGTGAGAACTACCAGAACAGTCCTGGTGAGCGGGAACTTCCCACCTCTGTTCTCATCTTACAAAACCACCTTCTAGTCTTGCCATCTATAGAAGAACTGTAAAAAGCATCATTATGCAGGACATTACTCTGTGCAATTGCATATTGAAATATTTTTAAATGATAAAAATATGAAAAGCAGGAAATCTAGGCAGTGAACTATGAACAGTAGTTCTCTTAGGAGGTGCTTGGGTTGAAATAAAGTAGAAGTGAAAGTGACTTTCTGTTCCATTCATGGTATTTTGATCATCTTTACCTGTTAGGGGCTTGTGTGTGGTGGTGGTGGTTGTGAGGTTTTATTTTTGTTTTGTTACTAGTTTGTTTTTTACAGTACTAGGGATTGAACAAAGGGCCTTCATAGTGAGCTATATCCCAGTCCTTTCTATATTTTGGCATAGGTTCTTGCCAAGTTGCCCAACTTACAGTCCCGCCTCACTATCTCAGAGTTCTGGAGTTATAAGCATGTACTTACTGTGCCTGGCATATTTCTCCTTTTTGAAATAAGAACATACTACTTTTATACTTTTACTTTTTGAATTTAGTTGAAACAATTAGTGTCTTATATTATGGTTTTCTATCCTTTTAGCCCTTGAAAAAACTCGAACAGAATTATTTGACCTGAAAACCAAATACGATGAAGAAACTACTGCAAAGTAAGTTCCTGCTCGGTTATATTCAGGTTGTCCTTGCTTCTGCTAATCTATTAGAGATTGGCCTGGTGGGTTTGAGAAGTTGCTTGGCTTCTGTGTCACTATGATGACTCAGTGCCATTTCAGGGAATCAGTCACATCAGATCAGTCCCCAGGTGTGACAGCACTTCTTTCATTATTATGAGCCTACTGGGAAAGAAGTCAGCCTAGAAGAGATATGACACTTGGGCCATTTCTTTGCAGAACTTGGTCTGGGCAAATCACTCACTTTTTACTTTGGCTTCTTCTTTTCCCTCAAGGCCCCTTAAAAAAAACATTAAAAGCACATTCCCATGCAGGTGGATTGATTCTTGTGAGCTCTAACAAGTGAATAGATGAATCTACATTTTTGGGTGGGTGGTCCCCCAAGGCTTGTTTCCTGTTCAACTCATGTTGGGAGAATTCAGTATGACTTATTGTGAATATACTTTGTGGCACATACCAGAGAGAATAGTGCTGTAAGTCATGAGAAGATGATGTTGACGGAGACCACTCCTAGCCATGCCTCCTTTGCTAGTGATCAGTCAAACAGTACCAGACTAACATTTGAAATGCTTTTTTTTAATGCTGAAATGCTCTTTTCTTCCAAGAAATCTGTGTGCCCAGCAATAGTGCTCTTGATGTCCAGTGGGCACTGGTGAGGATGCTTCTGAGTAGCCTCCTCACTCCCTACCTGGGGCTTCTCTACTGGTGAGAGTGCTGGTGCTCAGCATCCTTGTACCCTCCAACATGTTTTCCCTTGTGTTTTGAGGTTTCTTTCCATCCAATGAGTTGGTGTGTTCATGACCCTTTACTCTAGGCTACTCAGCCCAAGGCCTTAAGAGCCCAGCTATGCAGTCTAATGATCAGAACCATAAATTCTGCAAAGACCAAAGTATCCTGGTCAGTCCCTGTGCCCTTGGCTGACTTGCTAGAGTCCTTGTGCTCTTAGACTATCTAATATCTAAGCCCTGTGGGGGCTATGAATCATTTACCTTTCTCTCTGTGCATGTAAAAATAGGACTTTCTGTATGTAGAATGACCTAGGTTTAGACCCAGTAGAATAAAGGTTAAAATTTTGCTTTTGAAATTTTGTGGCTGTTGTATTAATTCCTCGTATTCCTGGGGCAGTGCTATCTGAAAACACAGCCACCATTGGCTGATCGAAGGCACCTGTGTCACACACACTCCCCTCACCCCCAAGCTGCAATCATAGTTTCACCAGCTGCCATGGTGAAACCTGATCACCTTGACATGCCTCAGGGTTCCTATTCTTTTTGTGCCACCATTTCATCCTTTTTTTTTCTTCAGTTATTTCTGTTTGGACTTTATTCTACCTGCACTATTTTTTCTAAAATAATTTGATTAGTAGATGATTCATTAATTAATGTTTTGGTAAATTCTCTCTTCACATCATTTTACTAACTGACATATTCCTGTATGGCACTAGATTTGATCATACCACTAGTTTTTGTTACTTTTAAACCATACCTCTTCCTAAAAGGCATCAATGCAATTTACTCATCCATAATTTTGTGTCTCCACAATTGACCAGGGTTTGCTTTACTATGCATTTTAGAAGGATTTTTTTTTTCTCCGAATGCCTTCAGGGCAGGTTTGGCTGGCTTGAGTTGTGGGGATTGAACCACAGCAACCTGAGGCTGACTGCTTTGTTGAAGCAGCCACTTAAAGAACTGAGCTAAGGGACAGGGCCCCTATTATGCATTTTAAAAACACTTTTATGATAGTAAGTATTGGCAAAGCTGCAGAGTAAAAAGAACTCTTTGTACCGATGTAAATTAGCATTGCTGTGATGGAAAACAGTTGAGAGTCCTCATAAAACTGAACATAGAACTACCATATGATCCTATAGTCCCTCGTCCTGTAGTCCACTATATAGCCAGAAGAAGTGAGATGAGTGCTTCATATGGATGAAGGCATTCTGCTGTGCAGTGTAATATTATTCACAGTAGCCAAGATCTGGAATACCCATAGTGTCCACCAGTAAACAAATGGATATAGAGAATATGGTGTGTGTACACAATGGAATACTATTTGGCCTTTAAAAAGAAGGCGGTTCTGTCATTTTCAGCAACATGGGTGAACCTGGAGGACATGCTAAGTGAACAAGACAAATACTGCATGACCAAAATGACACTAAGAACGTTAAATCTTGGAGCCATCATGAGATTGAGCTTAGTCACCCCAGGACCTCCCAGAGGCTGATCTTGCTGACCCTTGATTGACGTGGCAAACTCTGGCCTTCTGGCATCAGATAGGAAGTAGTGTTCACTGATGTGGACTCAGTAAGAAAAGGTTTGGGACCATTTCCCTCCCCAACTAGTGTATGTTAAGGCAAGAGACTTCTTTCCAAAACAAACAGATAAAACATTGCTTACTTGTTTCATAAACTACAGTAAATGGAAACTAGAAGTGTGGGGGAAGGAGCAATTATTCTGTCTTGTAAAGATGTCTTGTGTATGGATGGTAGCTTTTGTCACCAGACTGCTGACGTAGTTGTGTCTCCCTTCTGTCCTGCCTAGTGGTAAGGGGGTGGTGAGTAGATCTTATGGAGCAAGAGACCAGCTTGGGAAAGTAGCAGGTGAGTCTCAAGAGATGGTAGGCGTCCCCACAGGCCACCCAACAACTGCACCAGGCTCTGGATCCTGAGCCCTCCATGCCTCAGCAGGGAGAAGGTCATTGCAGCCCTGTAACTGCTGCTTGGATCCAGGGGATAGGGCACATGCCTGACAAGGTCTCTGCAGGAGGCAGGCAGGACAAGAGCAGCACAGTGCCCTGTGGCCAGTGCTAGCGGGACTGTCTCATATTCCAGGTAGGACCCAGAAGGTGAGAGCCTTTGGGAGGAGCTGTAACTCCATGCCTTCCCTTCCCTGCACCTGCACTCCCTGGAGAATAGGAACGAAAATAATCATGAAGGATACTTCCTCAGAGACAGTGACAAAGGACTTGAGGGCTTTTTTGTTGTGCTTTTTGAATCAGGAATCTCATTGTATTACCCAGGCTAGTGTTGAACTCCTATGGGTCAAGCCATGCCCATGCCCCAGACTCCTGAGTAGCTGGGACTACAAATGCAGGCCATTACACCCAACTGGGACTTGGAACTGGAAGATGAGTTATGGTCAGGTTGCAGGAAGCTTATGGAAGATCCAGGCCAGGCTGGTTTCTGGAAGGGCCTGCCCAGGGTTCTGAAGGTCTGGCTTAATGGGATGAGCAGGTGACAGGCCTGAAAGGACTGGGCTTTGTATTGAATCCAGCTATCACCTGCCTGATCAGAAATGGTCTGATTCCCCAGCCTAGGTAATCCACCACAAGTGTAGAATATGGCCTGAGGTGGTGGGGGTAGGACTGCTTTCTTAACTGGAGGCAGAGGTCTCAGTATTAATGATCACATAGCCCCATGCACATGGTTCTCCCCCTATTTTCTGGGAAGAGTTTGTCATTTTAGCTATCTACCTCAGTTCTAACCTGTGTATGCTTAACTAGACATAATATGTTCATTCATAACAGTCTTAAAACATTTCAGATGCTGTCTTTTTTTCCCTGATAAGTGGAATTCTCTACTTTTTAGTAACTGAGAATGGAGAGAGAAAGTTGGGGGCAGAGTCGAAATAGATTTTGGAGATGGTGCATCGCTTAGACCTGTCTGTATTCCTTTGGCTAGGCTGTGACCTCCCCAGCTCTCCTGTACAATGGGCATAATTCCAGCTGAACCACTGGGTAATTGAGAAGAGCCATGAAGGGCACGTGAGCAGCATGCATAGTGGTGAGTGCCAAAGAAGCACCCACACATGCCCCTGCTGGCTCTGTGTGCTTGGCCCGAGTGGTATCATCTTCCTGTGACCTTGAGGGACACACACTACGTGCCTAATCCTGTCTCCCTCACCCTCATTGGGAAGAAGCGTACAGGTCAAAAGTGCCCAGGCTGGCCAAGACCCCTTGATGGTGGACAGTCATCACTATGTATCAGCTGGGACAGCAAGAGCTGGCTGGGACAGGGACAGCAGTAAAGTTTTCTATGTGTAGGCTTGAAGCAAAATGTAATTAGCCTTTATGCACGGAACAAGGCCCCATTGATGAACACAGCTGGTCTTTGTTTTGTCCTGTCGTTGAGAGTGGGAGGTAAAAGTGTTCCTCTTCATGTTTATTAATGCAGGATTCCTTAGACAAATGGCAAATACAGTTTCATATTTGTTGGAACATGGGGGGGGGGGTTGCCAAAACAGTTGTTGTGTAAGCAGATTGCAATGTTGCAGATTAGAACTGCTTCTGGGTTAAATAAATTAATTATTTCTGCTTGAATTTTTTTTAAGTGAAAATGCACCTCCTCTTCAGATGGTCACCCTGTGTTTATCTTCCCCATCTCTCTTAGCATGTGTAGATATAGCACTCTAGAGGACTTGAACTTAGACATTCCAGCAGATCCCATAGGTATGGATTTTGACATTGACAGAGTTCTGTAGGTAGCCTGGGAGTTGGCAGGTGAGCAGGCTGTCTTCAGCAGGCAGCAGCTACCCTAAAAGATGCTTATACAGCTCTTGTTGCCCATGTCCTTGTGTAAGTATCACACAGCTGTTCACTCATTCTTGGGTGTAAGTTGCTCACACACACATCACAGAAAAGCTGTCCTCCCAGCTGAGAGATTGGGGTTCTAGGCACAAGTGCAGAAATTCCTCCCCACTCCCCTCAGTAGTAAGGATTAAACCCAGAGCCTTTGCACTGACCTGTATCCTAAGTCCTTTTTATATTTTAAAACAGAGTATCACTAAATTGCTGTAGCTAAGCTTGAACTTTTTATCTTCTTGCCTCCTCCTCAGCCTTCCAAAATGCTGGGATTACAAGCTTATGCTACCAATCCAGCTAAGAATTCACATTTTTATTGCAGTCCACAGCTACCTCTTTGCTCTGTCCCTCTGATCTGAGTGGACAGGGAACATCAGCTGAACATACACAGTCAGTCTCTCACA